TGTTCTTTTTCCTTTTCTTCTGTGTTTAGTACTTTCTTAAGTGTTTCATGTAGAGGTGATCTGGTGGCAGCGTAAGTTCTTAGGAATTGGATATCTGGGAAAGATTTCAATTCTCCCTTGCTGGTGAAGCTTAACTTGACTGGATAGGTTATTCTTGGTTGAAACTGTTTGTCTTTTAAGACTTTGAAGATAGGGCTCCAATCTCTCCTATCCAGCAGGGTTTCTGTAGATAAATCTGCTGCTCTTCTAATTGGTCTTCCATGGTAGGTGATCTGGCCTTTTTCTCTTGCTGCCTTTAGGATTTTTTTTTATGCTTACTTTGTTTAGGTGAATTATTATGTGTCTAGGAGTTGGTCTTCTCATTTGTTGTCTTGCAGGGGTTCTCTGAATCTCTTGTGTTTGAATTTTTGCATCACTGATTAGAAAAGGGATGTTTTCTTGAATGATCTCATGGAAAGTTTGTTCCAGTGGGTCCCTGTCTCTCTTTCTACCTCAGAAAGGCCAATTACTCTTAGGTTCGATTTCTTGAAGTAATCGCTCATCTCTTGAAGGTTTTGTTCTATCTTTTTGAGCTTATTTTCTGTGTTTTTAAGAGTTTGGATTAGTTCTATATTTTGATCCTCAAGCTCTGAGATTCTTTCTTCTGCTTGGGTAATTCTGCTTTCCATGCTTATCAGTTTGTTATTTATTTCATTTACAGTATTCTTTATTACTGTTATCTCAGATATCAGCTCCTTCCTAGTTTCTTGTCTCTTCTCAATTCTTTTTAATCTCTCCATTAATGTCTTGATATCTAGGTTTGTAATTTGAGACCCTTCATTCTGGGGGCTCTTCATTGTTTGCATTCCAAAGTCAGTTTTCTCAGTGTCTGCCCTCCCAGGGGTGTGAGAGAGACCCATATTCTTATTTTGGTTTTTCTTCATTTGTGTAGATTTTTCTCTCTCTCCCCCTCTCCCTCCCCTTCTTTAATTCTGTTTTTCAGGGACGGTGGGGTTGCTTTTGCTTCACTTGTGCAATCTCCTGTTCTTCCTTATGTGTGTCCTCTGGCTTTGTTCACTTTTGAGGTTGGAGTGTAGGCTGTGGGCTGTACTTTTTGCAGTTTTGAGGTTTAATTGAGAGGGAAGCTGTGATTCAGAATCTATATGCTGATTCCAGCATCCACCAGCATCTACCAACAGGTGTATGAGCACACTGGAACCTATTTCCCACTGCCTTACAATCTGTCTGTGCAGTGGTATGTAGGTTTGGTCCCTGGATCAAAAGGAGGAACAAAAGAGGAAAATAATGGAGGAAGGGGGGTCAATAGGAAGTTAGAAAGAGAGAAGAGTGAGAGTGAAAACAGACATACATACCAACTAACAGGTGAAAAAGAGACACAAGGCTGGAGAGAAGTGAA